TGGCAACTGCTGATTCTGGATAAGCACTTCCCTGTTGGTTAATGCACATATGAATCTTAGCTCGACAAAGGAACAATTGGTGCCATCCAACAGCATTTCCGTTTGCAGGTCCACTATCCTGTGCGAACCACATGCAACATACACTGAGAAGTTTAAGAACTTAAGGGTTTTAGAATTAGATTTTGCTTATGGGTCGACTTTATACGTAGTGGTAAAGAACCTCCACCCAACACTTTCACATGGTTTCAATATACTTTCTTCTTTGTAAACCATAAGATCTGATCCAAGTAATCGCTGGAAACAAGTCACTTCAGAAAAAATGAAAATTGTTGCCGACTATGTTGTGAAGATGAAAAAACATATTGTGATGCTTTAACTCTTTTTGATGCAGTAACATGTGGATGAGATGCAAGTTATAGTGGAATTCATCCGTGTGGCCAAGAGACTGAAAACAGCTTGCCTTAAGAGGAGACTGGGGTTCGCGTCACTTGCCCTCTACCACAACCATTATATCTGTCCTACCACCACCACCAACAGCTCAACCCTCCACTTCCGTCTCCGCCTCGCATACCGAAGGAGCCTACTCCAATGCAGATCAGCGGCGTAGACTGGCCCATTGAGAGGAACACCTAGGACCCATGGACGTCGCGATCCACTACCCCACCTGGCTTCCGCCACAATTTTGCAGCCGACCTCAGGATCTGGCAGGACTTCGCTAGCTGCCATCAGTGGTGACTGGTGAGTTTGTGATTATATATCCCGTTCTCTTCTTCTTCGTCAGAAGTGGTTTTTTAGGGTTCGTCTATTTTTTAAGAACTCGTCCTTAGTTGAGTGAAAGTCATAAGAATCTACATAAATGGATCAGGACTAACTAGCAGAAAATGTGATATGTTACAATTACGCAACTTCGAAACATAGAACATAACTTAATGAAAGAAAAACATCTCAGTAGCTCCAGCTGCGAGAGAATTAGAACTGAACCCTGCGACTCTACAGAAATCACTATCAGAACAGTACGACCAAAGAAAAAAAGGAATAAAACCTCACCGAAGCTTTATATGTTTGGTTAAGGAGTGAGATATGGATGCAAACTGAGTGAGGGCAGCAGCAAATCTATTATTTTTGTTCTACATTACTGCATTGAAACAACACCAAACAGTTGGTCAAGCAAGGTTGAGTAGAGCATTTTCATTGTTATGCCCCAATCCATCCAATTAAACCATGTTTCCAGTCCCCTCACCCTCCAAATCATCCGCCTCTTCTGCCAGATCAAGAGTAAATGAAGTGTAAATAAACGGTGAAATCAGATGTTCAATGTAGCTTAATCAATAGTATGGTAATCACAACATTAATATAAAGTAGCCGTTGCCAATCTCCGCCGTGGGCAGTCGAACTTCACCGTGCGTCAAATGCAGAGACCAAAAACCACCACCAACCTCCACAGCACCTCAAAGAAACTCAGTATGGCTCAACCACTTTCCAGAACCTTCTTACCAATGATTGAACACGAAGAATTCCGACCAACCTCATACATACCCGAAGCAAAAAAGTCAGGCACATGATTTCCCGAAATAAATACAATTTAATCTATGCTTGTTTATGTAGGGACTTATGAACCATTTCTGCAGATTCTAAGTTCTTACCGGAGCTTCTCCACTGAAGCCGAAAAAGAAAGGATTTCGAGTAACATGCTATTAATTTGTTGTTTTTTCAATGATTCTTTGAGAATTATATGATTTTATTATATGAACAAGGAAATTTTATTTTTAATTTTGTTATTTTGATTTCATCTTATTGGTTTGAGAATGTAATTCATGATTTTTTGTAATCTGCTTTGTCTTTTTGCAGATCGTGGTCGAACATGGTGAATGTGCGTACTCTCTCTGCCTATGCCTCCTCAATGGTGTAATTGTGTACGTAAAAATGGTTGAGCTGTCACCTGACGCTCTGGCCCTAACCATATGCTCCGTCACTCCGACAAATGAGTCGACTGACGAAGATCAGTGTACGGCTAGGGTTCGAGCTCCGCAACATGCAGAGTGGATGAGCTGACTGACCAATGAGGACACGTGAACCGACTGATTCAGACCACTTTCCGGTGATGGCAGATCAAGATGGAGATGGAAAAGTAGAACTCGACAAGGAAATTGAATGACGTCGTGGCTAAGGTTGACCAAAAATCATCTCCGAACGATATCCGACTGCCGGCATATATTATTTCTTCCGCTATTTTGCTTTACATCTGATTGATCTCGATTTCTCTGTATATTTTAACAAGTTATATGTACAACTTATGTTTTATTTTTCAAACTTAAAGTATTGGTGGGTTCAGTTTGTTATGTTGTTAATTTAAAGCTAATCAGGATTTCAAATGCATAATGATAACTTGAGTTGGTTGCTTGGATCATGATCTATAGTTTGTAATTCTTGTGGATTTTTTCATGTCTTATTTTATTTAAAATTGTTCTTCTATTATTATTACTATATGTTACTTACAATGTTTTATTTTATTTTGATAACGCAGGATTAGAGGCACCAAGAGACATCTTGGGGGTAGAGGAACCGCCAGCTGCCATGAAAGCTTCTGGTTCACTTTTGTCATCAGCCACGAAACAAGAAGATGAACTAAGTTCTATTTTCCAAGTGAGTTTCTTGGTAAAAAAGTTAAGAGTAGCACTGTATACAACATTACTATAATAAAACATTTTTCATTTGGAATTTGGTTTCCTTTTGTTTATAAGGTGGCCATTAATAAAATCAAAAACAAGAAGTGCTTCAAAATCAAGAACAGAGGATGATGTGTCTTCAGACTGCTCCTCGCTGTCACAGCTAAAACCCCAAGCCTTGTGGCCATGCTCATGGGCCTTGATTTACTCCCAGATGTATTAACAGCTCCCCTTCGGCATCAAATTCAATGCCCCAACCCAAATCCCACATTCTCATCCTAAAAACACACAGACAACATTCTCCAGGCGTGGTCGAAAAACTGCTTTCGGACGTGGATATGGGCAGCATTTTAATTTCTATCGTTTGGAAACTAAGCTAGTAAACGGGAAAGCGAGGATTAAACCTCTGAATAAGAGCCTTCTGTAAAACAAACTAGGTGGGGTGGGTACACTGCCAAGCTTCACAAATACATGTTTGTTTAACACAATAGATCATACGTATTTGATTTAGGTTATTCATCGCTCAAGTAGTTACACAGTCTGTTGGGTTAGACAACAAGATATTACTAATTTTTAAGTGTCTTATGTTTGACATTTTTGTTCAATTGATTGCAAAGTTTTGTTTTTTCATTTCTAATTTTGAATGCATATTGTTGACCCAACAAGGGATGATATGGCTTCAGTGCAGTGATGCATTCCAGTCCGATTGCAGATAAAAAATTAAAGATTGACCAGCTGATTAAAATCATAAATTACATAAACAAACACAACATGGTTAATATTCGGATGACTTAAAAATCTACATAACGGATGAATAAAACAATTATATAAATTAAATATACATACATATTAGAATTTATTTGGAAAAAAAAAAATGAATAAAAGAATAATATAATTAATGTAGAGTAAAATGTAGTGTAAACTATAGACAAAACTATACATTTGGATGACTTAAAAATCTACATAACGGATGAATAAAAAAATTATATAAAATTAAATATACATAAATATTAGAATTTATTTGAAAAAAAATGAATAAAAGAATAATATATTTAATGTAGAGTAAAATCTAGAGTAAATTATAGACAAAACTAAATATTTGGCTGGAAACATTAAATTCTTTCTCTTCTTTTCACCATGATTCAGTGGCACCAAAACGGGATCCATGACTCAAGTTCCACATAGCATCCAACAACCTTGTATTTTGATTCTTAATAAACTGCCGAGCATACTGTATAAATTTTTACCAACTCATGACAAGAATTATCATCAAACATTTCTTCAGCATGAACAATCAAGTTGACCAATTGCGAAATCCCAATCAAATTAGGTACCCCCTTGATAATGTGTAGTTAACCTGCATTATATGGTTGGTTAAAAAAATTTCTAAGAAGAAAATCTGCAGCATTAAAATATAATTATTCTAATTCAAGTGCTCACCTCTGGAGTTGAAGCAAACAGTTGTCCTTAACATTCTCGGTGAACTCAAGGTTGTTCAAATGGCTGCAATGCCTCGTCCGGTTCAATGACGACCGAGTTATCATTCATCTGGAGATATCTTTAGTTTAAGAAGGAATACTTTCACGTATCAATTAAAATAGTATGAGATAGATGTGATTTACCTGGGCAGCACCTCCATACTCATTAAGAATCAACAAATCATCATCACTCAGTGGAGTCAAAAGTTCAGTGAAGTCTTCAATGGTTAATTGACCAGGCAAGGTAGGACGACTCATTTGATCTTCATTCAGTAATGGAGTTGCAGCTGCAACAGTTAGATCACCACTTTGATCATCCATTTCCCAATCAGCTTCGTTAAACGGAGCCCCATATTGCGCACCGTGCTTAGGGCCTGGACCATCCTTTAGGAAGATTTTCCATACAACATATGTATCCTGCAAAATATACTTTAGTTATTGCAATAAAAATAATCTATTAAGGATGCACACGTGATCAAACATAGTAAAGAAAGAAAATACTTGAAGGCCTGTTGCAGCCAACTCCTCATCAAGAATATGATATTCGTGTGCAACCCAATCTGTTCTTTCCCCTCGGGATGCATGACCCACATGAAACACCAAAGTCTTTCTAGTTCCGACTTTTTTACCGTTGTGGAGCACGGGTTGGTCGTTTCCTGACGCTTTCCAGTATCCTTTCTCAGTAGAACGCTTCACTCTAGATCCACCTGGGAACTTCTCTCTTCGACAGAAAAAGAACCACTGTCGATCCTTAGTTTTCAAGCAAGACTGATCTGCAATGAACAAGACAAAGTAGTGAAATTTTACAAGTTAACAAACACTAAACAAAAGCGAGGGGGCCTGTACCAATTAAGTATCAAAAAAATGAAAAGTCGAAAATTTAATAGAAGTGACACCTGGGAGATCCCAAGGAGAAAATCTGTAGACATTGACCTCAGCTATCACTTCCATGACGAATTTTTTACCCAGGATCTTCCGTTTGAGGTAGTATAATACCAACTCCTCATCAGTAGGATGGAAACGAAATCCTAGCGGAACGTATGTGCTCGCCATAACAACTCCTATCCAACGACACCTGTTGTGCCCACAAATGTTCAAAAATATCTCTTTCAGCTTTTGAGTTAAAAGAAAATAACGAATGTATTGACTAGTTCAACTAAACACCAGTCTTGGTTTACTAAGTAACAGAACATAATGGCAGTTGGATGATGAGTATATTTTAATTTTTAAAACACAAGATTCTGCTCCCTTGGTTAAAGTATTATTGTGGACTAAATGTTGAACTTAGTGTTTATATACTTTATTTTACTGTTGAACTTAGTGTTAGCCATGCTTAAAGGCTTTTTAGACTTTTTACTTTTATGTCTTTTTCTCCCTATATAAGTTATGATATAGCTGTTGGGGTTCTGTAACAGAACATTCTAGCTTTTCCCATTTTTCTATCAATGGAGTTTCAGAGCTTTTTTGCTTCTTATTTCACTTCGATAATTTCTATTACCATTTAATATGGTATCAGAGGCTCAGAGCAGGAGATCATCAATTAGAAATGGCTCGCAATCCTGCCTGGAATGAGATCGTAACGGGAACTAACAACAGACCAGTGAAGGAGCAGATACCAGCGATAATCAGCAGGCGATGGCGAGGATTAGCGATCATTTTACACTTCATAACTCCGATCACCCTGGAATGGTGTTGGTGACGACTCCGCTCACTGGAACCAACTATCAGTCGTGGAGACGAGCAATGACGATCGCACTCGGAGCTAAGACAAAGCTCGGTTTCATCGATGGAAGTATCATGAAATCAGATCTGAACACAGAGGCGTACAATCAATGGAGAAAGGTTGATTATACAATCTACATCTGGATTCTAAACTCGTTAGGTAAGGATCTCGTTGATGCTTTTCTATATGCTGATTCTGCCGAGATTTGTGGATAGAAATAGAGCAGCGTTTCAGTGAGAGCAATGGTCATTGTTGTATCAATTGCAAAAGGAAATAGCTACGATTAGACAAGATAATGATTCAGTTGCGAGCTATTTCACAAAATTAAAACGGCTGTGGGATGAGTACACAAGTTTGGTGGCAATTCCAGCTTGTAAGTGTGGATCTATGCAGCAAGTGATGTTGATTGAAGAAAATAGAAAGCTGCTACAGTTTCTCATGGGACTCAATGAGAGCTATGAAGGAGTTATAAGCCAAATATTGCTCTTAGATCCTCTACCTACAGTAAACAAGGCTTACTCTATGATTCAAAGAGTGGAGAAGCAGAGATCGGTACAGCAATCATTTCCTGAGATTAAGGAACAAAGTGCCATGTTCACAAAATTCAATGGCATGGGAAGAGGAGTGGGAAGAGGAGGTAACAACAATCAAAATTGGCAAGGAAGTAAAGGAAGAGGATTTGTCAGGCTATCCAAAGAAGAAAAATTCAAGCTGAAGTGTGATTATTGCCAGGAGAATGGACATTTAGCACAATCATGCTTCAAACTCCACGGTTACCCAGACTGGTTTAAAACCTTGAAGGAAGAAGAAGGAAAAAGCTCAGGAAGAATGGTGGCAAATTCAGTAAAATCAGAAGGACAAATCAAGGAGAGTAGAGGATCAGAAGGAAAAGGAAATGAGTTACCATTGCAGGATATCTCAAATCTGATTAAACAAGAGTTTGCTAAGTACTTCTCAACTGGAGCAAAGCAAAACCATGAAGAATTCCAAGGACATGCTCATTTTGCAGAATAAAAAGGTATAGCTCTTAATGACCCTAACTATGCTTTAACAAGTATTGGACATGCTGATGAAAGTCCTTGGATATTAGATACTAGTGCCAGTAGACACATGAGTTACAATCCCAGTCATTTTACTAACAAACAATTGATTTCACCCATAGACATCCTTTTGCCAAATGGTTCTAAGTTGACAGTTACACATTCTGGAATTGTGAAGTTGCATAGCAGACTTGTTCTATGTGATGTGCTTTACATACCTACTTTTAAATACAATCTAATCTCTGTTGCTCAATTAGCACAACAATCCTGTGTGTTGAGCATGTTTTTTCCCACATATTTTTGTTTACAGGACCAGGAGACTAAGAACATTATTGCAAGTGGAAGGACTGTGGGAAGGTTATACACCTTGAAACTACAGACTTTACTTCTGAAACTTGTACTTCTGTCTCTATGCCTATTGTTGATTCCTTTTCTTTATGGCATAACAGATTTGGCCATGCTTCAATTTCTGTCTTAGAACATTTGGATTTCTCGAAATCTTTATGTCATTCAGAATCTAAAACCTTTACCTCTCAGTGTGAAATTTTCCATAAATCCAAGCAGCCTAGGCTGTCTTTTCCTTTGAGTGATTCTCATGCACAGTCTTTATTTGGTTTAGTTCACATGGATGTCTGGGGACCATACAATACTTCAAATATCACAAATACATGTTATTTCCTCACCTTGGTTGATGACCATAGTAGAGGAATTTGGGTTTATCTTATCAAACACAAGAGTCAAGTGCCAGAAATTCTAAGTGATTTTATTCAAATGGTACACACTCAGTTTAATCACACTATCAAAAAGTTCAGAAGTGACAATGGGTCAGAATTCCTCAATAATACTTGTCAAAAACTTTTTTCCTAAAAGGGTATCATTCATCAAACTTCATGTCCTTACACACCAAAACAACAAAATGGAGTGGTGGAAAGGAAACATAGACAACTTTTGAATTTGGCTAGAGCTCGTATGTTTCAGTCCAATTTACCATCAAAATTCTGGCCATATTCTATCCTACATGCCACATATCTCATAAATAGACTACCATCTTCAGCTATAAATTGGAAAACTCCTTATGAGATTATTTCAAGTCATCCACCTGATCATAAAATTTTCAGAACTTTTGAGTGCTTAGCCTATGCTGTTAACCTCAATCCTCAAAAAGCCAAATTCTCTTCTAGATTTCTAACCTGCGTCTTCCTTGGATATGTAGCTGTAAGAAAGGCTACAAGTTGTATAATGTGGACACACATCAAATCTTGATATCTAGAGATGTTCATTTCATTGAAGATCATTATCCATTTCTCCACATACAGTCCACAGACAATACCACTCATCCTTTGCCTTTGGTTTATGAACAAGAACCAGATATTCCTACATCAGAAAAATATGATTATCGAGAAACTTCTTCCTCATCAGAAATACCACCTCCTACTAGACAAAGCATGAGATAAAAAGAACCCCTTCTTAAGGGCTTTTTAGACTTTTTACTTTTATGTCTTTTTCTCCCTATATAAGTTGGGATATAGCTGTTGGGCTTCGATAATTTCTATTACCGTTTAATACTCAAACGTAGCACTAAGTAATAAGTATCCTATAGAGTCAGGAAAAAGGTCACGACCTCCAGCTTCGTAAATGTCATTATCTCGTATATTCAATCACAAATATGCATACATAAGTATCCTAATTGTCATTCCCGATAAAATATTTTAGGCCAGCAGAGTACCTTTTCTTATGCTAATGATATTTCACAGAATGCAGAACAAGAAATCTGTTATTGCTGTTGATGCATAAGCCATAAAGCAACGACTATACAACATATAAATGGGTAGCCAACAGATTTGAAAGATCAATGTGATGTTTAAATAAATTTGAATTTCATAAACTGCTAACCTTTTTGGTCAATAATCAGTATTGTATATGAAGAGGGGGTGATTAAATCTGGTTGGGAGTCGAAAATATAATATTTTATAGTACAAATCAGTGAGTGATACAATATTGAAATTATATGCACCTTCATTCAATGATTTATGTGCCTAACAATATCAATATTAGCTATCATTTCTGGTTCGCAAAGCTAATTGAAGTCCTGGTGTGAGGATGAAGATAGTGAAACCTTACTATTACATTTATAAGCCCAAGATTATGAAGTACAAATGCTTACAGCTTCAGACAATGTGAATGCTTTCATTTGCACTGCTTTTGCTTCTTTGGTGTACCATGTTTGATTTCACTCACATTTTGTCCAGGCCCAGTTGTTGGGGATTCAGGTTTCCTGAAAAACAGCAAGAATTAATCTCAATACAAAGCAAAAGACGAGTAAATGAAAAAAATGCACTATCAAGATAGATATCAAAACATTATCCCTAAATTTTGTATCACCAAAGGTCAGTAAAAGCATCCACTCATTATGGAAAAAACACATACACTTTCTACAATTTAAACCACAGTATGTGTTTCTATAAGCTCGAAAATAATCAAGTAGAGGACATCAAAAAAATATTTACAAACGGGAGGCGAAGCGTCGGACTTCGGAGGTGAGGCAGACGGAGTTTTGTTCGGAACTCGGACTTCGAAGGTGAGGCGCCGAGCCGAGATCGGAGGTGAGAGAGAAGAAGAGAGGCAGAGGCGGGAGGCGGGGACTGGAGTGAGAGAGAGAGAGAGAGAGAGAGAGAGGCGGGGATCTGGAACATTCTAGAAAACTAATACCTAAATTACGTTTTTAGCTCCTTGGGCCATCTTTTTGGGCCCTTACCTTATAAGCACATACTCCTTCAATCCAGCCCGACTCCTCTCTAGCCAGCCCGCTCCCTCAGCCCTAAGCCCACGAAAGAACAAAAAATCTTCAATTCAGTTCTTGCATAAACTGTATACAACTGAAGAAAAATCTGAAGTTTTTTTTATAAAAAAAAATAATATGAATAGTTGAACGTATAAAATGATATGGCAATATACTCGGGCCGGTTTTTTATGCATAGGCCTGGTCCCGTGATAAAGCGGTCCAATAAGTTAGGACGTGGGGTACGAATTGTCCAGCCTGTTTATTAGTGTGGATGGGCTTAATGACGTTCGCTAGGCCCATATCGGTCACAATGCAGTGTGGTCGGCCCATATAGGAAAACTAGAAGACTGGACTAGGAGAGTTGAAGCGTGGGGAATAAGCTACACCTTCAGGTATAAATACACAGATGAGGATTATGGTAAGCAGACACATTCTACAAAACCCTAACCCTACTTACAATTACGCACGTTTCTCTTATACCCTTCTATCCTTTACTGACTTGAGCGTC